TATATATATATATGTTGAATTAATATACAGATATTTACACCTATCAAGTTTCTATTTAGAGCTGTGACAACAGAAATAAAATTAATCACAGTGGACTTAAGTTTGCTATTGTCAGAAAGATATAAGAACCTGCTAATATTAAATAGCAATATATGTAAAAATGTAAATATTTTATATAATATAGAAAAATAAATACACCTATAGATACATATAATATAAAAATAAATATATAAAAGATAAAATATTGAAAACTAAATAAATATAAATATAAATATAAATATAAATATAAATATAAATATAAATATAAATATAAATATAAATATAAATATAAATATATTTCTATATATTTTATATAGAATATATTTTCATACATATATATAAATATTTTAATTTTAAAATAGCAGAAAATGGAAGTAAAATATTTTTTTTACCCTTGGACAAGGCCACCAAACCTCGAGGGGCTGCAGATCAAGGCCTTTGAGGAGCCAAATTTCCTGAGCAGATCAGAGGGAAGGTTCCAAAGGGCAGCCTGCATGTGCAGGGTGCACTGCTGGATAAATTCCAGCATCTGGGCAGGAAAATAAATCAAAATAGAGAGCTTCAGAAGAAAAAGAACCATTTAAAATTCATAAATCTGGATTACTGGAAGAAATAACTGGTTACTTGCAATATCAAAATGGGAATTTTGAGAAAGGCATTAACAGAAATTCAATTTGATGGAAATGGAAGAAAAGCTGACCTCAAACAGGTGACAAAATTTGAAATTTCACCCAGTTGGAATTTGAAATATCACAGAGAAAATGTCAATATAAGACATGAAATATCATGATGGACACAGTGTTGTTTTTAAGGTAGAAAGGGAAGTTTATTTTCTGACTCCAATATTTACAGATTTCCAAAAGTGACAGTGGATTGCAGGGTGAAAGTGCCACCTCTCCAATGACACTGCACAAAAGAACAAATTTCTATCAAATTTCTCTTCCTCCATAAAAGAGGAATGCAAATGTAAAGTTATGTAAATGTAAAACAATAAGTGAATAAATATTTAATATAAAACAATAAGTTATTT